AATGCGCTTTACACAATTGATGTGTGTATGGATTGGGATAACAGTTGTATGAGCCCCTAATAAAATGTTAAAAAAAATTTATAAATTATTTTTATTTTAATATTTTACACCGTCTGCTGTCTCCCTCACTCATCATTGCAATCGGTTCCCCCTTTCTCCTCCTACCCTCATGGTATCACTACTCTCATTACTGGTCCCGAGGAGTTTCTGTCCTAGAGCTCACGTCTGTACCGTGTACATTCTCTGGTCTAGCCAGATTTGTAAGGTAGCATTGGGATGATAGTGGGGATGAGAAAGCATTAAAGAACTAGAGGAATGTTATGTGTTTCATTGGTGCTTATACTGCACCCTGGCTGGCTCATCCCTTCCTTGTGATCTTTCTGTGAGGGGATGTCCAGTTGTCCACAGATGGGCTTAGGGCTTCCATTCCGACCCCCCCTGGTTTGCCTGATCCCTTCGACACCTCATGATCACACGGGCTGGTGTGCTTCTTCCATGTGGGCTTTGTTGCCTCCCTTCTAGATGAGATGATCCTCTTATTGCATGTTCCTTGTATTAGTTTTTTAACGTGTCCATGTTTATTTTTCAAAATAAATATTGATACAAATTAGTATGTATACATTTGAAGCTGACGAAATGAGAGGGAGCCATGTCCGCCCTCCTCCAGGTGCATAAAGGGTGAGAAGAATTCAACTGCACACCAACCCTAGGCTTATTTCTCAAGCAGATTTCGGATATACCCCCACTTTTAACCTTCGTTATCCTATTCTAACATCCTTCTACAGCACCCTACCTCTCTACTGGGTTCAACAGTCCATTGTGATGGTCACAGAGAACCCACAGAAAATAATCATGATTATGGCAATTAGGGAAACTATTCAGTTACAAGTCAGGGTCAGAAACATTAAGGGAGCAGTTATTTTGCCTGCAGCACTTCCCAACTGTGTCGCCAGGGGCACCTTTGTGTCTTTGGCCTCTCAGTCATTTGCCATTTGGACTCTGCCCTGTTTGGGCAAGTGTTACAAAAAACTCTCTTTTAGCAGTGATAAGTGCCAAAGGGCACGCTACTCTACAAGTCAGCCTTCTGTCTATCAAGGCAGACACTCCACTCAGCTTTACTTAGGCTGTCGATGCCATGGTGCCCCCACCCCTGGTATATCAGATGCACTCTGCATGTGGCCCTCCTTTCTTGATGGTCAGCAAATTCTTTGTTTCTGCTTCTGAGATGACTTTTATATATCAGTGTCATGGAAATCTGACCAATCACTTTATATTAGTTCCATACATCTTATCTGTATGCTTCCGTCTAGTCATCAGGGGGAAGTTACAAAGACTATGGATAAAAGAGTCATACAAACTAATTTCACGTCACTGCAGAAACTGTCTAGTAGTTAAATTCAAATTCAAATGATTCTTTACTTGAAATCGGTGGCTTAGTGCCTACTGGCTTAGAGCAGAAGTGTAAGGGTCAGATTATATACTTTCAACTCTTAACTTCATTGCCTACTAGCCATGTGACTGCTCTCTCTCTGAGTTTCAGTCACCTCATCTATAAAATAGGATTATTTACCTAACAGAGTTCTTGAAAGCATTCAATGAGATAACGACTTCAACATAGAATGTAAATAAACATTTGCTGTACTATCCTTGCCATTGTTTCATATTGGCTCCATACCAGCAAGTGTAAATGAATTACATCCTTGTCATTTTATAGATGAAAAAATAAAGTCCAACAATAGTTGATTGTCATGCTTAATAAAACACAATGGCTTGCTGTTGCTAATTGTAACAGTCAACATATGTACACTAGAGCTAATTATGGAAACTCAGTGAATACTCAAAACACTGTCAGGAGAAGGGTACTATTATTATCTACTATTATCATCTCATTTTACATATGAAGAATTGAGGCCCAGAAAAAGATTAAAGTGGTCAAGGATTTCATTTGACTCTGATCCAGAATCAATGCCCATGGAAGCAGTCAAAAAATAAAAAATAAAAACGATTGCACTGGTCAAATCTTCTGTAAAAGATCTCTTTAAAGTGCTAAAAGGCAAAAATGCAACTTTGAGGGCCATGGGGTACCTGACCCAAGCCATAGTATTTTTCTAGTGCCTCATGTGCATGCAAAAGTTGTATAAGGAGTAAGGAAAACTGAAGAATTGATGGCCTGATGATGGTGTTGGGGAAGAATGTGGACCATACTATGGACTGCCAGAAGGAGGAACAGATCTACCTTGGAAGAAGTACAGCCAGAATGCTACCTTAGAGGGAAGGATGGCAAGACACTGTACTTTGCACATGTTCTCAGGAGGGACCAAGTCTTTGCAGAAGGCAAGTACCCTTGGTAAAGGAGAGTATCAGTGCAAAAAAGGAAGAGCCTCAATGAGATGGTGGATGAACGGAACACACCAATGTCGGAAAGTAGCAAAATTCACCTAGCACTAAAGTTGTACTTTGAGAGTTAAAATACCTAATGATGGTCAAAGAAAGCATGGATCTTTCACAGCCAGAGGAAAAAAGGGGACAATTTATCTGCAATGTTCTACTTATTAATGCTAATGTCATAAACATCACAGTTTGAAGCACCCGAAGTTTGTATACAGTAATTTCAGCTGGTAAGCATGACCTGGCCACTGGTAATAAATACTGAAAACATGTACACCCAGCCAACAGAAAGGACAGTATTCTCTCTTCATGTAACATAAACCTTACTTAAATATAAACCTCCATGTTTACATGCTTACAAGAGAAAACGAGAGGCTATTGTGAAATAATACTTTCAAAATAAAGAATAGCATAAATTGCATACTTTATTTGAAAGAGCTGTAACTTAGATTGTTTAACAGTAGCAAGTACAATAGATACTGTTGGTAATTGTGTCGATTTTTGAAGAGGTGCTAGTTGTTAATCTTTAGATTGCTTTTCTTGATTGCAGTTACATATATTACCAAAAAAATCACCTTTCTAATTATTTTTAGATGTAAACTGAGTGACATTAATTGTATGAACCAGGTTATGTAATAGTCGTTATGTTCAAGTTGTTGATGCCATTATTTATTATAAACAAATTGGATTTCTTAAAAGTAATCATATTCCAAACATACTATTATTTGCTTATAGCCTTTTTTCCCCAAAACCATTTTATTGGGAGCTAATACAGAAATCTTATCATTCCATAGTTCAATCAGATCAATCAGTATTATACAATTGCTACCATAATCCATTTCAAAGCATTCTTTTCCTTCTTGAATTCCTTAATACAGGCTCCCCTTTATTCCCTCTGCCCTCTGTGCTCCCCAGGAACCCTTATTCTACTGCTTGTCTATAGTGGCTCATCAATACTGAGTTTCTTATACGGAAAAACATATAACAACAATTTAAGAGGGCTGTCCACAATAACAAAATACATCATAGATAAACCCCACTATGAAGCAAATAAACAAAAAACACAGAAACTATTGAAAACCAGATCAGGTTCAACGTGTTATCAGAATGGGGAATCAAGTGACAAGGTTTTAACTGCTTAAATCAGGTTTATCATTTTGATCTCCTAGAGTCATCCTCCAAATACTCTCTGGTTTGGTAGCCCGTTTAGTTCCCATCCCTCCATCATGGATGGAGAGAAATCACCTGAGGCTTATTTCCTGTGTATGTCTCACAAATAGATCTGGGGCTCCCACTGTCATCCAGTCTTCTGAAAACCAGATTCTCACACTTCAGACTCTGATACTATTTGCTCTTTGACTTTTGATTATATGATTTATAATCCTTGGGTCACAGATACTGGTGTGTTTATAGTCTTTATTTAACAAATTATCAAAAAGGAAAATAGAATCATCAAAACAGAAAATAGGTACATAGATGTATAATTTTAAAATTTAGTCTTCAAATATATATGAAATTGTGCCACTTAAACGAAATCAGTGTAGTAGTACATGTGCACTACCTTGCAGAGCTAGTAAATATCTGAACGATTATGTCTTTTCATATACACGGATCTTCCGTTATCTGTTTTACTTTGTATTATTAATTTACGTAGATTGTGCTCAATATGACAAGATCGTGATAGTGAATAAAAAAATGTAGCAACACTTATCTGAAGATAAATATTCTTAAACCTTATAGAGAAAGTTCTACCATTTCTACATAAGACAAATACACTAAGGGGACAAGGGGGAATAAACAAATCCTTACCAATTTTTCTGCTTCGGTGTTCATTTCCCTTAATTTCTTGATGTGTTCCTTTTTAATCATGAGAATTTTTGATAATTTGGTCTACAAAGAAATACATTCTTGAGTAAACAGAGGTATTTAAATATTTCAATGAGAAATCAAACTACTTCCTTGTAGACCTGCTCCACCTGTCGGTCTGTCTATGAGTCCTCTTGTGTATCGCCACTGCAGGATTGTGTATACAACAGTATTTATCGCTGTCACCTCTAGATCCAGCACTCCTCCCTGTGTCTTCCGCATCTCCATCATTTTCTAATAAAAACTCTACAGGCTACAAAAAATGTTGAATGGTATACCACAAAGATTCAATCAGCAAAACCCAGACTATGGAAAATTCTACAAATAAATACTTCAAGTTTTGTCAACAACGAAGTTGTATAACGTAACAGAATATTAAGCACTCAAGATACAACTGGAAAATCTGAACACTGTTGGGGTACTTCATGATGTTGATAAATTTCTCTCATTTTCATGATACAGTATAGTATTGGTATTATAGTTATGTTTCTTTAAATAAAAAAAATCATTGTCTCTAAAGAGATAAATACCCAGTTACTTCTCCCATTTAATTAAATTTAAATTTAAATACCCATTTAAATTTTCCATGAAAAAAATTGGCCTAAGTTGATGTAAGCAGAGGACCTTGTTAGATAGTATGTACACAACCTTGTTCACTCAGACTTAATAATCGGTTGGCTTGTAATTTTCTGGATTCTTAATTTTATAGAAATCTGTTATTCTAGAATGGGAAGCAGTAAAAGGAGGTTGAGATGAAGGTAACAGTCTTCCTTCCTCATTTTTTCCCGTTTTTTGTTGTTGTTTTTTAAAATCATTTTATTGGGGGCTCGTCCAACTCTTATCACAATCCATCGTGTCAAGCACATTTGTACATTTGTTGCCCTCATCATTCTCAGAACATATGCTTCCTACTTGAGTCCTTGCTATCAGCTCCTCATTTTTCCCCCTCCCTCTCCGGCCCCCTGCCCTCATGAACCCTTGATAATTTATAAATTATTATTATTTTGTCATGTCTTACACTGTCCGACGTCTTCCTTCACCCACTTTTCTGTCATCCGTCCTGGATTCCCTGTGTTTCCAGTTCTAATCTGTACCAGTGTACATCCTCTGGTCTAGCCAGATTTGTAAGGTAGAACTGGGATCACGATAGTGGAGGTGGAAGGAAGCATTTAAGAACTAGAGGAAAGTTGATGTATGTTTCATTGTTGCTACACTGCACCCTGACTGGGCTCGTCTCCTCCCCATGACCCTTCTGTAAGAGGATGTCTAGTTGCCTACAGATGGGCTTTGGGTCCCCACTCCGCACTCCCCCTCATTCACAATGATATGATTTTTAGTTCTTTGATGCCTGATACCTCATCTATTTGACACCTCGTGATCACAGAGGCTACTATGCTTCTTCTATGTGGGCTTTGTTGCTTCTGAGCTAGATGGCCACTTGTTTACCTTCAAGCCTTTAAGACCCCAGATGCTATATCTTTTGATAGCCAGGCACTATCAGCTTTCTTCACATTTGCTTATGCACCCATTTGTCTTCAGTGATCTTGTCGGGAAGGTGAGCATCATGGAATGCCAGTTTAACAGAACAAAGTGTTCTTGCATTGAGAGAGTACTTGAGTAAAGACCCAATGTCTATCTGCTACCTTAATACTAAACCTATAAATATATGCACATAGATCTATTTCCCCATCCTTATATATACATATGTAAATGCCTGTTTTTAGACCTCTATAAATGCCTTTTGCATCCTAGTTCTTTCTTCTATTTCCTTTTACTTTCCTCTTGTCCCACTATCATGCTCAGCCTTCATTTGGGTTTTGTAATTCCTCTCAGTTTCATCACCTTTGATCAAGCCCTACCAGGCCTCCTACACCCTCCTCGCCACTGATTTTGGATCACTTGTTGTTCCCTTGTCCCCGGGTTTGTTAACACCACTTTCTTTCCCCCACCTCCCCTTCTCCCATGTCCCCTCTGAATGGGAAGTAGTAAAAGGAGATTGAGATGAAGGTACAGTCTTACTTCCTCATTTTTTCCTGTTCTTTTTGGTAGATTGTTTTTTAAAAAAGCGATACTGGTCCTTTATTTATCAAACTGGGCCATCATGAAAGAGTTCATCAATCTTTTCAGATTTCTTAAAATCCCTGTTGTTGTTAGGTCCCCACTGAGTCTATCTTCAACTCAAGGTGACACTATGTGACAGAGAAGAACAGCCCATCAGGTTTCCTAGTCTAATCCTTATAGGACAGATGACCAGGTTGCTCGCTTAAAGATCTGCCAGGTAGGTTCAAACTGCCTACTTTTTGGTTAGCATCCAAGTAGTTAACCATTCAAAAGGAAAATTCGTTCTATGAATCATAAAACTTTGCCCCCCAAACTTAATCCTGCCATAAGAAACATGAAAAGAAAAAATGATTAAAAAGATATCCCTCTACCAACATGTACACTGCTACAGATAAATGCCCGCAACACAGGGAATCAAGGATAGATAAACCCCTCGGGGCCAACAATGAGTAAAGATACCAGGAGGATAGGGGAAGATTGGGGGAAGAAAGGGGGAATCGATCATAAGGATCAACATATAACCCCCGCCCAGAGAGACAAACAACAGAAAAGTGGGTGAAGGGCGACAGAGGACGATGTAAGATATGAAAACAATAATCTATAACTTATCAAGGGTTCGTGAGGGAAGGCGGGCGGGAGAGGAAGGGGGAAAATGAGGAGCTGATATCAAGGGCTCATGTAGAAAGAAAATGCTTTGAAAATGATGATGGCAACAAATGTATAAATATGCTTGACACAATGAATGAATGTATGAATTATAATGAGATGTAAGGGCCAAAATAAAATTACTTAATAAAAAAAAATGCATTTGCCTCAAGCTTACTATCAGCAAGAGTAAAAAGTATTTTGTAAAATCTTAATCTAAAAAACCAAACCCATTGTCCCATAGGGTTCCGGGCTGTAGATCTTTCTTTCACAGAGTGGCTGGTTCAAATCACTAGCCTTTGGGCTTGTAGCTAAGTTCTCCAACCACAGCACCACCAGAGATCTGTATTGGTTAAGTAGTACACTATTAAACAGAGCCACCATTTTCTGTCAGTTTGTTGTAGTGTGGTGCCTTGTATTATTCTGTTGTAATGCTGGAGCTGCTGCACAAGACCTCTTTTAAAGTGCTAGAGAACAGACGTCACTTTCAGAACTAATGTGTCCCTGACCAAAGCCAGAGTATTTTTTAAAAATCATTTTACTGGGGGCTCGTACAACTCTTATCAAGCCGTAGTATTTTTAATTGCTTCATGTGCACGTGAAAGTTGGAAGAGCAAAGAGGATCAAAGAATATGAGTTATGGTACTGGTGAAGAATAATGAAATTACCACGAATTGCCAGAAGTACAAGCAAATCTGTCCTAAAAGAAGTACAGCCAGAATGTTTCTTGAAAACGAGGATGGCAAGACTTCATACCATATAGTTTAGACGTGTTGTGTGGAGAGGACAGTCCTGGACAAGGACTTGGTGCCTGGTAAGTGGAGGGACAGCAGAAAAGGGAAGACCCCGACAAGACTGACTGACACCATGGCTGCAACAACAGGCTCACACTAAGAACAACTGTGAGGATGGCGAAGGCCCAGGCGACGTTTCTCTCAGTGGTACACAGGGTCGCTATGAGTTGGAAGTGATTTGATGGAACCTAACGTTAAAAATAGTACACATACTATTAAGGGGTCATAAAGTCAGTTCTAACTCATAGAAATCCTATGTGCAACAGAATGAGACACTGCTCGGTCCTTCATCACCTGAACAATTGTTCTTACGTTGAAAAATAATTGGGATACGAAGCTGTTTGGTTTTGTAAATACTTATTATAGTCTAAGAAACTCTATATAAGGTTCCTATGAGTAGGAATTGATTTTATGGCAATGGGTTTCGTTTTTAACCACTAAATACTTAGCAAATACCTGGTTCCAGTCTTAGTAAAGGAAAGAACTCTGTTTAACTATATATAGCCAGTGAGGCCATCAACACTGCTGAAACACAGAGACTTTAGTCTCTAGCTCCCTCTGGTGACCAATTCTCCTACACACAGACAAACTACCTGTTCAGATACAACTTTGACCTTCATTAGAAAATAACTATCTTTCTAGTGGGACAGGGGGAAAATCAAGGGAAATAGAGGAAAGTGCTGGGAGGCAAAGGGCATTTATAGAGGTCTAAATAAAGGCATGTACATATGCAAATATATTTATATGAGGATAGGGAAATAGATCTATGTGTCTATATTTATAGGTTTAGTATTAAGGTAGCAGAGGGACATTGGGCCTCCACTCAAGTACTCCCTCAATGCAAGAATACTTTATTCTATTAAATTGGCATTCTATGATGCTCACCTTCCTGACAC